ATATATATATATATATATATATATATATATATATTATAGTATGGTCGAAATATCAATTTTTCTATTATATTATTTTAATTGTCGTATCGGTCCTATTCTAGTTTTTGGAAATTTGCCGTATCGGTGTATTATATTGTATCGTATCGTATCACTGTATATGTATCCATATTGGTGCAATATAATGTCTCGGCCATGATGAGTGGATGAGAGACGTTACATATATTTATTTTTAAATTAACAAGAGAAGAAAATTGTGAACTTGAGTCGCTAGATCAATTGAGGAAGCCCCAACTTGGAATTAATAAAAGATACATAGCCCATATCATATAAGATAAGGACGGCAAACACAAGTAAATGAAAGTTTCAGGTTGCCCAGTGCCCACACAGACTTAAGATATAAACATTGATTGAAGGCGTTTATTTCTGCAAGCGAGAAAGCAAACGGATGGTAGATATATAGGAAGCGCACAGAATCACAGATGATCCTATAAGCCCGCCTCAATCAAGCCTTTGATTATAATTAATTATGCCTGGGCACTTGTAAGATGAGCGTCGACATCTTTGGACACATCCACTGCAAACTGGAGCAAGGTATGTGGGTCCTCAATATCACCATGATGCTTCTCATACTCCATAGTCCAATGAACGATGCTGCCTTGACCATGAGCTTTTGGAGTGGCGTGAATGGTGATCTTGAAGCTCTTGTAATGCTCCAGCAGATCTCCTTCAATCACTTTGAAAGTGATCAGATTCTTTTCAGCGTCTATGGCTTCAATCAACTCCTTGGCAACTTTAGCTTTCCCATCTGCGTAACAATTAATAAATTTTTGGACTTCTTAGATCTAGGTAAAAAACAATTAGCTGTCATTGAGTTTAGTCCTCACGTTTTTTGTTTTAGATGTAGGTCCTTTGACATTTATTACTTTTTTTGTTGTGTCGATTTTACCCTTTGAGGTAAATAAGGAAAACACATTAAAAAATCTAAATTTAATGCATCATTTCCTTGTAATTGAATTCCAAAATTTAAATTTTGAATTTTTTCCTTGATAATATTCTTAATATATGGATAAAATAAAATTGAATCAATAAAAAGCAAAGACCCACAAATTATACCAATCGATCAGACAAGCACCCACATTAAATTATGTACCTAATATACGGGTAAATACTGTTATTATTTGCAATGAAAAATACTTAGTGATAAATCATGTTACCTATAAGTTATGAACATAAAATAGAAGACTACCTATAAGTCAGATACAAAAATAGGCAAAATAAAATTGTATGTTACCTATTAAAAAAAAAGGTACATAAAATACTACTACACATTGTCGAAAATATGAAAAAACATATATAGGCAATATGACATAAATAATTATTACCCGATTCAAGTCATAAGGGGCAACATGAGAATAAAAAATGAATTTAAAAATAAAATAATAAAAAGATTACATAAAAAATATTAAAAAAAGAATGTAATTCTATGTGGCACAAAAATCAAAGGACTTGGATCAAAATTACCAAGTCCGAGGATTAAACCCAACTACTCAATACGAATTTGGATCTATATCAATTTTTCTATAAATTTTTTCACAAAAGAAAAAAGAAAAAGAAACAATCAACCAGTTTTGTTGAAGAAAGAAATTAACATCAAACGACATGAACATAATATATAACATAACTGATGTTAACTGAAGCTATAGGGAGGCTTTACTTACCATGGAAATAATTCCAGTAGACCACAGAGCCGACGGTTCCCCATTCACCTTCATGTAAATCACAACCCTGAATGTTGTTAGAGCTGACATTGGATATGTGGTGCGGTCTGTGTGTGAAAACTTCATGGAACTTGGTAGCAGGAGCCTTGATTTCAACATCAGTCTCTACCTTACCATGATTGCTAGACATTTTCACAAAATGAAGTTCACGTAAATAATAGGATAGGAGGATGGAGTGTACTTGTTGCTAGACTGCAAATTGATGTTGTAAAAAACTACTTAGGTCCTAGCACTTAAATAGAAGAGAGGGTGAGCGCATGATAGCAGCGGCCAATTGTTATATCCCTTTTAAAAGTATTTGTTCAAAACACACATATCTCGCTTACATTAATTTATGTTTTTTTTTGGGAGTCCCATTATACAATACAAACTTTAAAGAAACCATCTTTCTTGTATGAGTGTGATTTAATCTACATATTTACACAAATTTGAAAAATTATATTCATTGACAGACTATTAACGTAGTGACTACTTCCCTCCAATTAAGAGTGGCGAACAAAAATATTTTCAATTTTAAATAATTTTCCAAATATTTTAGATATAATCGGTGAGCTGATTAATCACATCCTGGGTACTATAATATATTTGAAGGCTGAGATAATATAATTCGAGTGGGGAGACAACAATCGTGACAGACAAACAACTCTCCAAATCCGCTTGAATATTGAATTTGATAAATAGAGTAGATCCAACTAAAACGCAATTGTCAGTAATTGATGAGAACATTATAAGAAGGTGTCCCTGGCAGTAGTCATGCATGAGGTGTCCTATCCAGTATCCCAGTACTGATGAGAACAGTACATGAGGAAGTTCGGATATTAAATTACATTTTTGTTGGGGCGCAGAATTTTAATACAAGGTCAGAGAACAGCCTGGTGGTGGCTTATCTGATCAGTTCAATTAATTCAAAGATGAAACAAATTATAATTATACAAATTTATAAATAAACCCAATCCTAGACATGTATTTATAAAAAAATCCAAACACTATTTAAATATAGAAACACACCCAAAATTAACCCCAAAGTCAACTTTTTGGGTGTGTTTATAAAGTGTTTTGGGTGTTGGGTTTTTTTATAATTTCAACCTCCATTTTGGGTGTTTTAGTGAAACTCCCAATTAATTAACTAGACTCGGAGAGTAAATGCCCTTTTTTCACTGGCCTAAAATTAAACATTGCTTAATTTTTTATTTTATTTTATTAAATACAAACGATAATCTAAACGTCATTTCTGTTGTAGACGGGGATTAGACTTACCTTGTTTTTTCGTTTGTTTAGATAATATAAGATAATACTACCTGCAATATAAAATTACAATTATGAAGATTTTCTATAACTTTCGGAGATATTGTCGAATAACATCACGATCTTTTGATTGCCAATCTGCAAGAAACACATGTATCTATCTTCGAGCAGGTTCATATTTTACTTTCATCAACGTTGGAATTTTTTTGAACATAATAAGATCATCAGTCTTTCGTTCTGATGATATATACTATATTTGACTGTTGTTTTGATGATCAGTAATTAAATCTTTTTCATTTTTATCTTTTATAGTTTACTATACCTGGAGAGCTTCCAGCCTCAACATCCTGCAAAATTGAGAGAACACTCCTAGAAGCACAATCTAGTTTTTTTTTAATTCTTCTGGTTGATATGAAGATAAACTCTGTAACAATTCAAGATTTTAACAATTAAAGTTTTTTTTTTCTTTTTATGGTTCTTGTTTTTTAAGTTTTGCACTAAGCTGCAAAATGGTTGTACATAGAAATACTGCAATTGATTGAAATGTAAGTTGGTCATATTTTTTTTTTGGGTTTAATGAAAAGTCTTTGAGTATGTCTTATTGATCATGTAGGAAGAAGTTAATTTATTAACTGATTTGCGTAAGTAAACTATGTCATTGTTGAATTTATTCAATGATTTGCAGAGCCCATGACGAGATTATTGATAAACCACTTCGTAGCAGTGATAGCGAATTACTTGTGAGGACTTTATTTTGTCGGCCAAAGTTAACTAACCCGGAAAAAACTCCCTATGTTGAATTTGTACCGACGAAACAAACAGCTGTCGTCATAGGTATTCTTTACCAACAACTGTATATGTTTCATCGCGAAAACGTGCGAGCTATTGTGACGAATATTTGTGATCCAAGATTTGCAGAAAAAACCAACAACCCAATCACCCTGCCAATTTCTAACGAGACCTCCGTCGCCAAGAGCATAACCAGAGACAGATCTTGAACCATCAACATTTAATTCATGGTACCTTGTGGAGGAGGCATCTCATTAATTCCGTTGTCTTGGTCTAGTTGATCACAGGACATGTATATCATGCACGAAATTAAATGATATGTCTTTGCATATAGTAGTACTTTCCCATCAATGGTGTAAGATTAAAAAGATAAGATTAGTTTAGATTAGCTTGTTAGAGGTTTAGTTAAGCCTAGCTTTTATCTGCTATATAAAATACTGTAACTCCTTAATTTGTAACACTCCAACCAATACCATACAAAAATTCTCTCAAAGGTCTCTCTGTTTTGGATTTACTTAGACAAATGGAACCGCCATGCAATTACAAATAGGGTTTGTGACTGCAAGTTTGCATTGATGATGAGGGGATGGGGTTACAGTCTTACAAACCTAGAAAATATGCATACAGGTAACCAAAATTTAATTTTAGCAATACACACATATCATTCATTTATTAATAATAATAATTTGATAGGAGGACGTACATATATATAAAAGCCAGTAATTAGGGCATAACCCCAATTATAACATACAAACATATGATTGATAGGAAACACGAATTGCAATATGATGATGGCTCCAAATCACTTATTTATACGTGTGCATTTCAGATAGAGTAACACCCAACAACACACAGATTGGGAGCCTTAGGCGTTTTATGCAATCTTAGGCAGTAAGGCACTACTACAAAAAGCGAAAAAGACGATCAGGAAAAGACGACGGTAGAAGAAAAAACCGTTGTTGTATTTAAAAAGATGATGGTAACAAAAAACCGTCGTAGATAAGTGACTTAAACAACTAAAAACCGAAGGTACTGTTGAATATTTTTTTATAACGACGCACACAAATAAAAAAACGTCGTCTTATTAAAAAGGTTTTCTTCAGAGTTAAAATATGACCAAAAAACAACGACGGCAGGTATGACAAGTGTCGTCTTTTAAAAATCAAGTGTCATTTTTTTCGTAAAGACGTGGTTGTTTTGATAAAAATCGTCGTCTATTATATGTAAAGATGACGATTTTTATACAAACCGTCGTCTATTATATGTAAAGATGACGATTTTTATACAAACCGTCGTCTATTATATGTAAAGATGACGCTTTTTATAAAAA